CCCGGCATGAATAGGGGGCTGCTTGATCCTTCCCGTTTCAGGCGATTTAGAGGTGCAGTTACCAAGCTTGGGGCCCACACGTAACATCCCTTTGGGTGTTCATCTGGACGGAGGTGTCCAGAGTGAAGTGAAGGAAGTTGCTTTTTTTTTGGTTTTTGTTTTATTAAGTCTTTTCCCATAGCGATCAGGCTTTCATTATCCATTGTGTAAGCAAGCCTGCTGCCCTTGCCCCCTGCCGATGCCCTTTTGTAAGTCTTCCCTTTCCAAAAGACTACTGGGCTACAATAAAGTTGAGGTCTGCGCGGAAGAAAACTATACCCCCTCGCTCTGTCACCAAGGCCCTCATATCCTTTGTAGGAGACTCCTAAAGATCCCCAGCCTTTCAAGGCTCTGCCCATGGTGGTTGTGGCTGCAGTACCACTTTCTCCTGCAGGTGAACATTGGCTTGTGTGTCTTAGGCCTTATTGCCATGGCAAGCACCAACTCTCTGATGTGGACCTTCTTTAGCCGGGGCCTCAGTTTCTCTATGTCTTCAGCCATTGCATCTGTCACAGTGACTTTTTCTAATATACTCAGCTCGGTGAGTAGCCTGGTGACCTCGTTTGTACTCCGGGTTCTGGGTGAGTTGTCCTCGGGGAACCCCTGCTTTTTCAAGTTCAGAAATGACAGGAAGTTAAACAGGTTGGACTGGCGCCCGTCAAGGAGCAGTGAAACATGGAAAACTTAGGAATGAAATCTTTGTCATTGTGTGCTAACGCCAGCCATGTGACGTCCCTTGGCATGTCTCTTCCTAAGTCTGGGGACTCTAGCATGAGCTAGGGGGGTAGAGGGAACCGGTGTGGGTTCTTTGTGTAAACCCAGCCAGTCCTGAAGTGGAAGGACTTGGTTTTATGGTTACTGGCCCCCCCTGCTGGCCTTTGTTGGGCCTCATTGCTCAGCTGGGGTAGCCCTTGACTTCCACAGAGGAGACAGAAGTACATGGATTGATTTGGTGAAGGTGGTAGCTGGATGAGAAGCAGCAGACTTTGGCCTCTGGCCTCCTCAGGAAGAAATAGCCACTAAGGAATAGTCGAGCTTACCAGAGTAAGCCAAGTCCCTTACAGCTGTCTCTCCCACAGGCCATCTTAGGCTACTTGCTATATGGAGAGTGCCAGGAGGTCTTGTGGTGGGGAGGGGTGTTCCTCATCCTTTGTGGGCTCACCCTGATCCACAGCAAGTTCCCACCCACCTGGGAGGCAAGCAAGCAACAGTGACGCCAGTTGGTTGGATGGTCACACTGTAAAGATGACTGTGATGCCCAGCCGTGGGTTGACAAGTAGGACTGTTTCCAAGCTGGCCTGGGAGTACAGCCCCTGACTATCAGCCACAAGGAGATGCCAGACCAACACAGGCCTCTGACCATGGGCTCCTGTAAGAGGAAGATAACCACCACAGCACAGGCCCACGTCCTGTTGGTACTTGGCACAGTGCTTTGATTCTTGTGCTCCAGGGCTACCTCAATGAACCCCAGAAGGCTCTGTGATCTTGCCCAGCAACATGTCAAGCATCTGAGAAGTGTTGCGATTATGGTCCTCCTACCTGACCATGGCCCCTCCTATACCCCAGAGGTGGTAGCTGGTGGGGTTTCCTGAAGAAACAAACAAGCAAGCAAACATGTAATGTGTCAGGTTATCTGTCACGCCGATGAATCCACAGCAAGAGAAGGGAACAATAAATACCTATTTGTAAGTTGAAGCTACTGGGTGTGGAATCTTCATTCTTTCCAACTTTGGGGGTAAAGTAGCCGAGTTCTCAGGTTTCGGGTAGTGGAATAGTACATGTGCAGACCCAACAAGTGGAGATTTTCTTCCACACTCAACCTGCACAGGTGACGGAAAGAACATACTGACAGACACAGTCCTGCTGCATCCCGCCAGCTGGGACCTAGCCTCTCCTCAACACCCTCACAGGAGCTGCTATCTTGGCGACCTTTCTGTCCCTATGTACTGGAGTCCCCAGTGGCCAAGCATCTAGTACGGAAAGGTTTGCAAGTTCACAAGGTCCAGTTCTGCTGTGTGCCTTTGTGTTTGCTCTCTCCTAAGCCTTAGACTCCCTCACTTGCCCCACTCTTGGCAACAATCTCTGCTCCTAGTTCCAAACTCCTTTAAACTCTCCTGGGAGCCAGGGCAAAGCTATTGTTTGCTTAGCCCACTTTGACATATTAAAACCTGACCACTCCATGAGGAAGATGCTCTAGTGTTCTCAGCGTAGGTGAGGAAACCAAGTTTCAGGAGCATTTGGAGTAACTTGTCCAACGTCACACAGCTAATGAGTCTTTGAAAGAGTGTCAGTACAGGCTGTTTTTCTCCAAGCCCCATTCTTAGTCCTCAGCACAGTCTTGCCTCCTACATCAGCAAATCAAGACCAGAGAGACCCAGTATAAAGAAAAACTATCAAGTCTCAGAACCTTGTCACTAACCACTTCCCCGTGTGATGGTCTGTTCTGATCCTGTCGCTCTACCAGTGAGAAAGAAAGAAAGCCATTCAGGGCCACATCAAGTGGATTCCCATGTGGGCTAGGCACACCAAGCATGAGGGCTGGAGAAATGGCTCAATAGTTAAGAGCACTTGCTGCTTTTGCGGAGGTCCTGGGTTCAATTCCTACACCCAAACGATGATTTACAGCTATCTGTAACTCTTAGTGCTAGCACATCTGATGCCCTCCGTCTTCTGACCTCTGCTAACACAGGCACACACAGGCACAGACAAACCAGCTGTGGGTAGGGGCTGGAGAGGTGGCTCAGAGAGTTAGGAGCACCCGGCACTGTCCAGAAAGGACTCTGCCTCCAGTCTAGACACCTGCTGAATGCATACAGATGGTTGGTACAGGCTAGTCCACCAATGTGGAAAAACATGGGATCAAGATCTTTGTCTACAGAAATGTATGCCTCTGGAATCACCTGAGAAGACAGGCAGCGTTCACATCTTTGTTGCAGAGGGTGGTTCTTCTGCAGGAAGAGTAAACCACATGACAATATTTGCCTGTCTGATGTGCATCCTGGATTGTGGCCTGAGTTTTGTTTGCTTCAGAGCTGGACATTTGACATTTGACATCAGGTTCTACAGCCTGTGGCCTCGACAGGGCGGTTACCACTTTCTGTTCTTGTTTTTATTTATTTATGCTTAAACCCAGCAGTTTTTTTTAATATATCCACAAAATTTTCAACTATCATTAATTCCAGAACATCAAAGCCATATCTGTCAGCAGTCACCCTCTGTCCCTTGCCTCCACTCCAGTCCCTGCTATCACAAATGTTTCTGTTTCTATGAATTTTCCTACTCTAGATATTTCATATAGTGGATTTTTTTTTCCTGTGGTCTTTTTTGTCTAATTTTTTAACTTAAAATGCTGCTTCTAAGGCTCGTTACAAATGTAGCACACTTTAATACCATTCCTTTCTGTGGCTCAATCCCATGCTACCTTGCAGTTAGACCATTTGACCTTGTGTTGGACAAAGTTGTTTCCACTTTGGTGCTATTATAGTACTGGTACAAATATTAAATATTCAAGATGTTTTGTGGAAATGTGATTTCAACTCTATTGAGTATACACCTAGAAATGGAATGACTGGGACACACAAGCCATTTTAACTTGCTCTTTTTTGTTTTGTTGTTTTTGAGACAGGGCTTCTATGTAGCCCTTGCTAGCTTGGAACTTGCTATGTAGACTTGGGTGACCCCAAACTCCCGGAGATCTACCAGTCTCTGCCTCCTGAGTGCTGGGCTTCCTGTTTAACTTTCTGAGGAACAGCTACAGCAGCCACACCATTTTATGGTCTAACTATCCAAGTATGAGTGCCCCAATCTCACCACTTTCTTGGCAACACTATTATTATCCATTTTTCAGTTTTTATGTGTTAATTGTACATTGATTATGACATTTTCATGCATGTAAAATGCGTTGGTCATACTCAACCCCCACCTTTGTTCATCCTTCTTATTATAGTCATTGTTTTAGTTCCTTTTCTTGTAGTTGTGATAAAATACTCTGACAAAGTCAACTTGAGAAACAGTTGATTCTGGCTCATGTTTCAAGGACACAGTCCATCACTTTGGAGAAATCCCAGTGATTAGTGGAAGCCGTTGGTCACATTGCTTCCACAACTGGGAAGAGAGAGAGAGAGAGATGAATGCTTTCTATTGCTCAGTTCCTTTTCTCCTCTTACACAGCTGAGGATTTCAGCCAGGGAATGGTACCAACCACAGTGGTACCATTTCCCAACAGGCATTTCCAGAGGCTGCTGGCTCAAGAGTCTGTGGGGTTGACTATTAACACTATCATAGCCATCCTAGTGGTATCTTCTGTGGCTTTTATTTACATTTCTATAGTGAGTCAAGCATCTTTTCTATGATTATGAGTCATTTGTGTATCTTCTTGGGTATAAGGGCTATGAGACCTGCTCCAGGCCCTACCCAGGGTTCCAAAGGTGAAATGCTTCTCAGGAGTAAAGGAGAGGTAAAGATTTCTATCGTAACTCACACACAATCTGAGAGTCATGCTCTTCATTTCCTGTGCTCTTTACTGTTCTGTTTCTACTCTAATAATCCTGACCTACTTCTAACTTCTCCATGCTTCTTCTCTAGCTGCTGCTTCTATTCTAAAAATACTCTTCTTCAGGAGCCTCAAGTGATAAAGGCATTTCTCTCATTGGTCAAAAGCACACTCCTAGAGGAAATGATAAGGAGCTGAGCCATTTACCATGACAACACAAGGGTCCAAGGCCATAAACCATGACCAAACAAGGAAGGCACAGTGCCCAGTGACAACTTTAAGACACAGATCTATTGTTAGTAGACTGGCAAGTAAAGAACAGGCAAGTTTTTCTTAGTAACCTTGGTTGTACACCTGTGACTCTGACCTTGTACATAGCTGTAAGGTTTCAAACTTATGATTTATTTACAAAACGTCTTTAGTTTGGACTTGTTCTGAGGTGAAAGTGAGTTAATTGTGTGCAGTTAGCCTGAATAAGAGAACAAGGCAGGCTATTAAGAGTTAACACTAGTTAGTTAACACTAGTTAACCCCTACTGTATCTCACACACTTGGGAAAAAATGGCTTTTGGGGACTTTGGACATTTTAAAAATTCAGGCTTGGAGAGGTCTTGGTTTTGATTGTTATGGTGAATTCATTATGTGGTCAGGCTGGTCTCAAAGTCATGGCAATCCTCCTGCCTCAGCCCTCCAAATGCTGGGATTACAAGGATGAGGCACACACTTGAGGGCTTGAAGATCTATAATAATGCTTTAGTGTCAGTCTCCACAAGGAACTGGGTTAGAGATGACTCTGGCTCTTGCGCAGGCTTCTAGATCTGCCTTAGAAGAAAGCTGGCACCTTGGCACTGAAGTGGGTGGGGTTAGGGAGAGGAGAGGGCAGCAGAGTGGAGAGCCTCAAATCCGACCTATGTTATAGTTTCTGCCTGAGGCCAGAGCCTCCCCGACTCAGCCCTGCCTTGGTAGCTGTTCACTGCCCAGAGCTACTCATAATCTCTATACTACCAGAACCCAGTCCACACGGAGACCCATCCCATTCTGGCTAATTTAGGTCAACTTGATACAAACTAGAGTCATCAGAGAGGGTGGAGCCAGTAGGTGGTGGTGCATACTTTCAGTCCAAGCACTCAGGAGGCAGAGGCAGGTGGATCTTTGTGAGTTCAAGGCCAGCCTGGTCTACAGAGCAAGTGCTAGGACAGCCTCCAAAGCCACAGAGAAACCCTGTCTCAAAACAAAACAAAACAAAACATAAAGATACTCTGTAACTGAAGTTACAGGCAGTTATAAGCCATCAAACCCTAGGTCCTCTGCAAATAATAATAAATGCTCTTAGCTGCTGGGCCATCTCTCCTCTATTTTTTTTTAATTTTAATCTCGTGTGTGTGCGAATGTGCACAAGTGTCAATAGAGATTAGAAGAGGTCGCTGGATCCCCTAGAGCTGGAGTTACAAGTGATTGTGAGCCATCTGACATGGAAACTGAGAACTAAAATCGGGTCCTCAGAAGAGCCAGAAGCATTCTTTTTGTTGTTTTTGGTTTTTGTTTGTTTTTTGAAACAGGGTTTTTCTCTGTGTAGCCCTGGCTGTCCTGGAACTCACTCTGTAGACCAGGCTGGTCAGAACTCAGAGTTCTGCCTGCCCCTGCCAAGTGCTGGCATTAAAGGTTTGTACCACCACTGCCCTGGCTGCAGGAAGCACTCTTAATTGCTGAGCCATCTCTCTAGCTCCAAGCCCCACCCCAAGGTGTTTCTAAGGTAGAGCCAGCAGAACTTAATCACTGCTCAATGTAAGTATGAAAAAGGACAGTTGACGGTACCATGATTCGGGTCTTGATCAGTGGGAAGATAGCAGCCATGAGATGAAGAAGGCTGTGAGAAAAACCTGACTAGACAAAAGGCCTTAATGTGTGATTGGGAATATGGTTGAGTCTTAGATCTTTTGCCTAGCATGTATTACACACTCACATTCTCTGAGGGCCCGCTTGTGCACACGTGTACACACACACACACACACACACACACAGTGTAGACATGTTAATTTCTAAGGTGTCAGGAAGTGGAAGCACATACTATACAAAGCTCAAGTCATACAAAGAAGGAGCGTCAGAGTCAGCAGCACAGAGAGGTATTTGAAGTCATGAGTGGATGAGATCTTGCGGGAGAAGAGGCCTAGAAACTGAGCCTGGGTGTCTTAGTGTTTGGAAGTCAGAGTGGTATGGGAAAACTAGATGAGGAGGAAGAAACAGCTAGTGACGCAGGAGACATCTGGAATCATTTCCAGAGTACAGTGATCACCCAAACTAAACCTGCTAAAGAGAAGACCTGAGAAATGGCCCCTGGATTATCAGAGGTTCTGACAGGTGTTCGTATTCCGGCATCTGTACTGGCCTCTCCTTGTATTCTGACAGGATACACCCCCAGCTGCAGCCACTAAGAGCACCACCTGTGTACATTCCCTATGTTGTCTTTAATAAAGGCCCTTGCTACCTCCCATCCCTGTTTTTCTTTCCCTTTCTCTTTTGTCTCTCTCCCACCTTTTCCTCTCTCCTGCTGCTCCCATCTCTGGAAGCCAGTTTCCCCCCTCCCCTTTCCCCTTTTTATGATCCCTTTCCCTAATTAAAAAAAAAAAAAAAACAACCCTCTGCTTGAACCCTGTTGCATGGCATCTTTCTCTTGAGCACTGCTTTTCTTAAATTATGACAGGATCACCTCCAAGGAGTGGTGGTGGCAAAAGCCTGGCTGGATTAGATTCAGGAAGGAATGGAGGACCATTTCCATCAATTCAGAAACTACATCTGACATACTTCAATTCCCTTACATAATAAACAAAACAATGGATAAAAAAATTTCTTAATGTATTACTACCTTGAGCAATTAGTCTACAAGAAGAAATCCAAGATACCCAATTGAAAAGAGAAGTAGGATTACCTCTTTCACAGGTAGACTAACAATGAGAAATCTGAAACGATGACAATGCTACCTAAAATTCATATGTAATCTTTTTTAATTTGTAAGTTTTATGTACACTGGTGTTTTGCTTGCATGTATGTCTGTGTGAGGGAGTCCAGTCCCCTTGAACAGTAATTACAGACAGTTGTGAGCTGCCATATGGATTCTGGGAGCTGAACCCAGGTCCTCTGGAAGAGCAGTCAGTGCTTTTAACCACCAAGCCATCCCCCCAGCCCCATATGTAATGGGCTAGACAGAGAATGGTTTCTCAAAGTTCTCTTCTCATGTTACTGACTTGGTTTTCTCTATGTAACAGTTCTGGCCGTCTTGGAACTTTGTAGACCAGGCTGGCCTTGAACTCAAAGAGATCTGCCTGCCTCTGCCTCCCAAGTGCTGGGGCTAAAGGTGTGTGCCACCACCTAGCATGTTACTGAGTCTTGAAGGCAGAGCCTCATATAACCCAGGCTAGTCTCAAAGTCACTGTGTAGCTGAGGATGATCCCTGGTCTTTCCGCCCCTACCTTCTAATTGCTGGGGTTACAGATGTGCTCCACAATACCACTCAGATCCTACATCCTAGGAAACAAGGCTCAGAGAACTCATATTTCCTTCATCTACCACCTGGACATAGAAGGGGCAGAGAGCAGTCCAGCTGCACTTCCTGGTCCCCTAGCAGCATCCTGAAAGGCCCTTTTAATTGAGACCCGCGACCGTCAGCCCAGATCACCCGTTGCACAGTCTATCCCAGATGACAGACCTTAAGAAGTGAAGCCTCAGACCCACAGCAGGTACAGCAGGGCAAACCCCAAGGAAAGCACAATTCATCGTTGCATGGCTGTGACCCACAACAGGGCTGATGGTGGAGAAATATCTAAGCAAACATGGGGACTAACCTGGGCCTATGATCAGCATGTCCCAGGCAGCCCTCCCACAATCAATTTGTTGAGCACTGGAATAGCCTGATGAGTAGAGATTTTGTGGTTTATTGCACTCTTTTATTTTCTCTCGTAATGTTGTTTATACACATATAGTCAGAATAGAGATAAGCAGAGGTTCAGATACAAGAAGCAAAGATGTTGTCTATAGAGATCTCTGGGTGCTGTTTACCAGCTCCTCCCTGTCTCCACAGATGGGGAGGTCACAAGTACAGGAGTTTATCTTTATGTTCCAGAACCAATGTGTGGCGCCAGGGGCTCCTGTGGCAGGGGGGGGGGCGCCGGAACTGAGTGTAGAGGTTGGGTAGGAGAGCAGCCATGAATCCCCAAAAGCACCCCTTCCCAGGCCTTCCTTCTGGGAAGAGAGAACCTTGTGTCCCCAACTCTAAGAGAAGAACCTGGCTCACAAACTCTCACTCAGGTGTCCCCAGGTTCCTTCCCCTGTGTCCATCCGATGGGCCAGTTTAGCTCTGTCCCCCAGGCCCTGGCCAGGCACATCCTCACACACTATCTTAGCTAACTCGGCCTCTGCACATAATCAGTCCTGAGCAAACTCTCTGAACATGAGCCCAGCAGTGGGGTAGAGGCAAAAAGTGGACAAATTCCAATCCTGGCTGGTGGTTTCATGTCTAAGTGTGTTTTCCATCTTCTAATTCTCACCTGCAAGTTTCCTGCCAGTCCCCCACCACCTCCTCCAAGACCCTGTCATGTCTGGATCAAGAAGCTCAGTGGTACCCAGTTCCCAGGAAGTTGCATTCAAAGCCTCTGTCCCCTGGTGGGACTCAGGCCTAAATCACTTCTATGTGCAGAACAAGGGGTGTGGGACAGACTGATATCCCAAGCTCTACCACCAGGCCCTGGTACAGCCAGAAAAGCAGTTCTGGAAGGTGACAGCCCCTGTGACATAACCGGCTGCTGTTCACTGTGGAACAGACTGGGAAGATGAGAATAGGTGGCCGTGAGCACCAGCTAATAGTGAAATGCCACAAAGTAAAGTAAAAAGCCAGGTCAGTGGAGGCAGAGGGTGGGAAGCTGGCTGGGATCCTTAGATAACACCACACAGGGCTCCACCCTGTCAAGTTAAGGCAGCATCCTTTAAGGAGAATATCCTCTGTTCTAGGCACCGAGAGCCTGTTGGATAACATGACCTTGAAGTTTCTTCATAGCCTAGAGCATGGGACTCCATCATCTCCCAGTCCCCAGAGGCCGAAGAGAAAAAAAGCACAAAGAGGTTAAGTGGCTTGCTCAGGGTTCACAGTCTGTTCTCTGTGGGTTTGTCTGCTCTTGCTCTGGCAGCCTGGAGAAAGGTTATGCTTTTCAGGTCCCTCTTTGGTGAAAGGAACTGCACAGGACAAAAGACTTCTCTAGGCCTTCTCTGCTAAAGCACAGACGCTGAGGTCCCTGGGCCAGGCTGTCCAGAGGCCTCCCACCTTTCTGTTGCAGGTGATGAACAGCTTAGTTTTACATAATTCCGGTCCTAAACTCTGATGTTACAAGAGGAAAATAGAAAAATAAGTTTCTTGCTAGTCTCCTTGACCCGAAAGCAGGGTGTAGAGCTCTGAAGAGCAGAGCCTGCCCAGCCTGTTCCTTTCTCAGTTTGAAAGCAGTTTGAAACAAGTCTCAGCTGTTGAGATCTGCAGATGCAGCTTCTCAGCCTTTTGGTGCCTGAAAGCTCCCTGGTACCCAGGGAGACAGGGGTCAGTGGAGGCAACTGCTGGACATGAGTCCCTCAGACAACTCTTCAAGGGACACAGCAGCACTTACTAATGCCAGGGCTCAGGAGGGCTTCCTCCTGCTCTGGGGGCCTTTGCTGCTGTGTCAAACCAGCTCTTTCACTAGAATTGACGTCATTGAAAAAGTTATAAGTATGGGTTGGGTAGATAGTTTAGTGGATAAAGTGTTTAACCAACGTGAGGACCTGAGTTCAGATCTCTAGAAACCATTTAAGCTGGGCATGGTAGTGTATGTCTGTATCCCCAGTGCTGATTAGCCAGCCTCAGGGAAACAGTGAGCCCCAGGTCAGTGAGAAACCTTGTGTCTAAATAGTAATGTGGTTAGGCTGGGCAGCTGCTCAGCAGATAGGAACTTGTTGCAGAGGACCTGAGTTTGGTTCCTACCACCCACACTTGGAGGCTCACAACCACCTATAATTACAGCTCCAGGGAATCCAACACCCTTTTCTGGCCTCAGTGGTCACCTGCACATACGTGCACATTCACATACAGACATAAAAAAATGTTTAAGGTGGATAAATTTAGAAGGAAATACCTGATGTTAACCTCTGGCCTCCAGACATACATACACAAGCAGTACGTAACATGTCCAGGTGAGTGAACCTACATACACATACATGCACACATAAATATACACCCAATCAAACAAAAGACCATAGGTCCCCTGAGGCAAGCAGAGAATGAACGTCCATGAGACACATCTGGGCATGTTTGGGCCAGTGTTTCTACAGGGCCTGTAGACGCACTGTAAGGATGTGTGAAAGCCTTTCCCTGCAGCCCTGAAAGGAAGGAGCTGCGGGAAGAATGTCTGACTTAGCCACATGTGGACAGCAGAGTCTCCAGCATCCCCAGGCCTCACTGCAGATTCAGAACACATCAGTGTGTGTGTTTCGTGAAATGCATGCACATACTGTCTCCTCAGTGAACACAGCACATCTGCCAAGATCTAAAAGAGAGTGGTAATTGGTACACTGGAAAAATCCCGAATCATGTGTATACATAATATGTTCAAAATATAAGCAAAAATAGAACTATTAGGCATCCTTATTTAAAAAAAAAATAAAGCCGTGAAATAAGTAAAGACGTTTCCAGTCTCCCTAGAGGTCACATGACCCTGGCTCTTGGTGACTTGTTCCTGGGGTCCCAGAAGATACATGGCGCCATTCTCTGTGCTCCTTCCTTTAAAGCCGGCTCCTCTCGTCTCCTGATTTCCCCAGGGCTGATAGGGAGGATGATTAAAGTTTTATTGTTTTTGATCGAGATGGTCCTCAAGCCTTGCCCCTTGGCAGCCACTGTAAGGTCAGATCTACCCCAGGACCACATAAAAAGAGGCCACATCCTGCTCTGAGGACGACTCTGGCAGTGCGTTGGCATCAGACTGGAATCTCTCAACAGGGCTACAGAGAGAGGCAGCAAGGACCATGGATACCATTAGTGGTAAGTAGGTAAAATCTGCACAATGGCTCTTAGCCTTCTGGGCACCCACTGCTGTCCAGCCACTGTCCTTCTACTTAATCCATGGCTTGCCATCTTATTCATTAGCGAAAGCCAAACTTTCAGATACACAATAATTTCAGATTCCTCAAACATTGGAAAGATCAAGGATGCCTGTCTTCTTTTCACTAACCCCTCACGCTGAGACCACATGTAGCTTTTCACGAGAGTCTGTTAGTGCCCTCTGTGAGCTGGTATCCAGCCTTGTGCAGCCTCTCTCTGGATGCAGAGACAGAGGTCGGGCAAGGAATGACTACTGTGAAGCTCTGAAAAGGGTATAGTTTGAGTGGCATTGAATGAAAAACATGATTCTTCATAGCCCATAGGCCACCTCGATTCTCCAGATGGTTGGATGCTTGTCCACACTCAGAGAGGAGTACAGCAGGGCCCGGGGCTTGGCAAAGACCGTGTATTCTGGGAGGGATCTGCTATTCAGAGATGATTCAGGTTGAAGTCGGTCGTATGCTGGTTAGCAGTGTGGCTTTGGGTTTTTTCAGCCACAATAAAAGACAAGTCTGTGAAAGTGCCTTGCGAATGACTCAGGACAACTGTGCCGACTTGTTTATGTCAATTTGACACAGGCTTGAATCATTTGGGAGGAGGGAACCACAACTAAGAAAATGTTTCCATCAAATCAGGCTGTAGGCAGGCCTGTAAGACATTTTCTTAATTAATGTTTTGTGGTCCATTGTGGATGGTGCCTCCTCTGGTCAGGTGGTCTTGGGTTCTATAAGAAGGCAGGTTGAACAAGCCATGGGAAGCAAGCCAGAAAATAGCATTTATCCACGGCCTCTGCACCAGCTCCTGCCTCCAAGTTCTTGCTGGGCTTAAGTTCATGCCTTGGCTTCCCTAAGTGGACTATGACTGGGGATATGTAAGCCAAATAAAACCTTTCCTCCCCAAGTTGCTTTGGTCATGGTGTTTCATCACAGCAATAGAAACCCTACTAAGGGGCTGGAGAGATGGCTCAGTTGTTGAGATCACTGGCTGCTCTTCCGGAGGACCTGGGTTCAATTCCCACCACCCACATGGTAGCTCACAACTGTCTGTAACTCCAGTTCCAGGTGATCCAACACCTTCCACACAGATACACATGCAGGCAAAAGACCAATGCACATACAATAAAAAGTAAATTATTAAAAAGAAGAAGAGAAAGGAAGAGAAGGAAAGAAAGAAAGAAAGAAAGAAAGAAAGAAAGAAAGAAAGAAAGAAAGTCTAACTAAGATAACAGCTTAAAAAGAGATGTAGTCTCCTGGACCAGCCAGCATGTTGAGGGGAGAAATAAATCCTCAGGGAAGTGGCCAGACTGCAAACGAGGCAGTGTGTACCCTGGGATTCTCTAGGAACAGGACTGATATAATGAATGTATTTTAAAAGGGTACTTATTACATTGGCTTACACAGATAGTTCAACAATAGTGATTTTCATGTTGGAGAGGTTGAAAGCTCAATAGCTGCTCAGGCCAGGAGACTAGATGTCTCACCATCCTGGGCTAGCATTCAAAGCCTGGAGGATTCCCAAAAGGTTATTGGTCTTCAGTCCATGTCAGAAGCTAAAGGATGAGTTCTCTTATCAGCCCAGAATGGTGGCAACTGCAGCTTGAAAATGTCAACAGAGTTTGCCAGCATGACCTGAAAGTAGGCAGTGTGCCCTCAGACCTGCTTTTATCTGGCTGTCACTGGAAGGTGCCATCCACATTTAGGGTGTGTCTTTCTCACCTCAAACTATACAATTAAAAACAAACAAACATCAACAAAACAAAAACAAAAACAAAAAACAGAACAAACAAAAAACACCAGGCAGTGGTGGTGCATGCCTTTCACCCCAGCTCTCAGGAGGCAGAAGCAGGTGGATCTCTGTGTGTTCAAGGCCAGCCTGGTCTACAGGCTGGGCTGACAGGAATGGGGAGCAGTCAAGGGATGCTCCCCTCCTTCTTCCCTCCAGCGTCCATGGACCAGTTTACAAAGCTGGGAGGTTGAGCACTGGGGGCACCTCCTAACAGCTACTAGTAGGAGTGTTTTCCAGGACTGACTTCTCTCTCTCAGCTCAACTCCCTGCAATCCTATAAGACCAGTATGCACACCCATTTTATAGGTAGGAAACAAAATCTCAGATTATTATGGCCTTCAGGGACACAGCAGGGGATCCTGTTACGGGATTTCCTGCCTGGTTCTGCAGTCACCTTGCCCCAAATGAACACACAGATGCTATATTAATTATAATACTCTTGGCTGGTAGCTAGGGCTTCTTATTGGCTAGCTCTTTCTTTCTTTCTCTCTTTCTTTCTTTCTTTGTTTTGTTTTGGTTTGGTTTGGTTTTGTTTTTCGAGGCAGGGTTTCTCTGTGGCTTTTGGAGGCTGTCCTGGAACTAGCTCTTATAGACCAAGCTGGTCTCGAACTCACAGAGATCAGCCTGCCTCCCGAGTGCTGGGATTAAAGGCATGAGTCACTACCACTGAGCTGGCAAGCTCTGTCTTAATTATTAATCCATTTCTATTAATCTATGTATTTCCACATGGTCTTGGCTTACCGGAAAAGGGCCTGGAGCTGCTACTTCTTGGCCAGCTACATGGCGACCCCTGTCTGCCTACACTTTCCAGAATTCTCCTCCTCTGGCACCCCCACCTATCCTTCCTGCCTGGCCACTAGCTACACAGTGTTTTATTTATCAACCAAAAAGAGAAACACATACACAGAAGGACAACCCCATCAGGACCCCTCTTCTCTTCCCTGAACTATCAGAGTTAGGAGTCAGCCCTGTGTCTTCCCATATACTGTGTGCTTACAGCGCTGAAGGTTTCCTCTGTGGACATGGAGAAAAAGGAGAATATGGCTGCCCACCACACGTCGGAGTTCCAGACCAAAAATATCGTGCTCAGGCGTGGACAAATATTCAACATGAAAGTGATACTAAATAGACCTCTTCAACCGCAGGACGAACTGAAGCTGATATTCTCTATTGGTGAGGCCTCAGCCCCAGCAGCAGGATAGAGGGTGGGACCACAAGGCCTATGAGTGTGCAATGGCCAAGAGTGACTTTGCTCCCTAAGCCTCAAGTTTCCCCACGCTGACAATAGACTGGGAACTGAATAATCACTCTGGCACAGTTGATGCATTCCTTGGCCAATCAGTGGAGATGGCTGGGGAAGGGTGGGAGCAGAGAGGACCAGCAAGTGAGGCAGCTGTTGTAGAGGGGTCTGGAGCACATTCTAGAAACGAATCGTAGCACTGTTTGCTGACACTGTAGCTCTGTGGGCTTGGGGAAACCATAATAGTTATCAAAAGCACTACAGTAAGGGCCTAAGGAGACAGTCCAGTCAGTGAAGTGCCTGCCACACACAAGCATGAGGACCTGAGTTTAGGTCCCCAGCACCCAAGTGAAAGCCAAGCAATATGGTGTGTATCTGGTGAAGCTATAGATAGGCTGATCTCCGGAGCTCACTGACCAGCCAGCTTAAGCTAATAGGTGAGATCCAGATGGAGTAGAGACCTTGCCTCAAAAAACAAGATGGGGTGGGACTGAGGATCCACACACGTTGTATACACACACACACACACACACACACACACACACACACACACACAGGAGGCAGCAGAGCAGGCAAAGATGGCCATGCTTGGGCTGATGTCAAGACTCACTTCCCTGTTGGTGTTTCCAGGACAGAACTCATCCAAGTATGTGGAGCTTGATCCGATGACATCCTTCCGTTCTCAGGGCTGGCATGTGAAAATTGCCAAACAGTCCGGCTCAGAGGTGAGGGCCCTTGTTACGGGCTACTGACTGGTGGTTTCTGGATAATTCCTGGCCTTAACCTAGTTCCTGTTTATCCCTTCCTTGCTTTCCAGTGTAGAGTGCTGCTTACCAGCAGTAGCCATAGCTCTGAGTTCCTCAGCTTCTTGCTTACCCGTAGCACACAGTAGTCTGACTAGTCAGATGTCGCATAACACTTGTTTCACATTTATGTTCACTGGAAGAAACGAACAGAGGAAAATTAGCAAGAATAACATAACAGGGACAGTCATGGTGGAGCACACCTTTATTCCCGGCACTCTTGGGAGACAGAGGCAGGTGGATCTCTGTGAGTTCTCTGCCAGCCTAGTCTATATAGTGAGTTCCAGGACAGCCAGGGCTATAGAGAGAGACCCTGACTCAGAGAGAGATGTGGAGGGAGAGGAAAAGAGAAATAACGACACTTCTTCCTACAGGCTGTTGGTTTAAACTCAAAAGTAGGTGGAGGCCCTTTTTGCTTCTCGTCTCCTCGTAACAGAGCATAACGACTTCATCAGTGTCCCTTCTGGTTAGGGTGCCAGCACAGCTTGCAGCCTGCTCAGGAGTGTGGGCTGCGGATGGCTTCTTTGACATCCATTGTGAAGCTGTCTGTCTTCCCAGTGTTGGAAAGTCACTGCCAACTATGACCCCCTCCTAGTGAGGTCCCTGAACTGGTTTATGGTTACTTTCTTAGGGGGTAGCCTACAGATTCCATTGCTAAGTTAATTCCAAGATTTGAAAAGGGCAATGGTCTTCAGGTTTTCTAGAAGCAGAATTTGCAGTTGGCAAATGAGTGAGTGGACTCTGGTCTTCATCCCGCCATGTGCCTCTTTCCCTTCCTTCCTTCCTTTCTGGCCAGAACCAGGGCTCCAGTCCTCCACTTTGCAGCAATGTTTTGTGTTTTCAGAGATTCATGACAGCCTCAGTCTCCTTCTGAAGGAACCTCAGTTTTGGTTATGGAGATGGTGGGAATGGAAGCTGCAGAGGTGGAATGGGATAGGGGATGGGCTAAATATCTTCACTCAAAAGGTGTTGTTTAAATTTTTGTTTTAAAATTTAAAATTTAAAATGCTTGTTTTTATAACACCCATGAAGGAAGTGAATCTTTAATACCCATGGGAAGGTTTTTTTTTTATTTTAAATATATAAGTCTTTGCTTTTAATAGGTGTGTGTGTGTGTGTGTGTGTGTGTGTGTGTGTGTGTGTCTGTGGTATGTCCATGTGAGTCAAGGCACTGTGTCCCCTATGGTTGGAGTTAAAGACAGTTGTGATCTGCCTGACATAGGTGCTGAGAATTGAACTTGGGTCCTCTGTAAGAGCAGTACAGGTCTTTAGTCAATGAGCCATCTCTCCAGCCTGTTTTTTTTAAACATGTGAACACATATGTAGGACTCTGTACAGGTCTGGGTGTCTGACATTACCTATACCACGAAAGGTTGGCTTCCTGTGTTGCTTGGTAATAAATGATGATGACAGTTCTAATCAGTGCTGGGACACAACACGAAAGGTCTTCCTTACTAGCCCAGAGCTCTGCCAGCTGATTACTGGGGAATGGGACTTTGTCTCAACTACCCTGTGGGTGCTCAGGAATACTTTCTCATGGAACAGCCCCCTAATCAAGGCAGCCAAATGCCACTGTGGGTTGAGAGACGGCATCTTCTGCCTTCCAAGAGACTCACTCTCCTTCTTACTGCCTTGTGTATGTGTTGCTCATTTAGTTCCCACAACCACTCCAGGGAGTGCAGAAGGAGGTAGCAAACTTTCAAGCAAGGAAACTGATGCACATGAGAAATTAAGAAAGTAGCCAACACCATTCATCTAGTGGAAGACAGAGCTAGTGTTGGAACTGGCAGCTATTGTTCCCAGAAGATACCTTCTTTTGCTGTGTTTGTTTTTGTTTGTTTCTTTGAAGACAGGGTTTGTCTGTGTAGCTTTATAAAGAGTCTGTCCTGGAACTCTCTCTGTAGACCAGGCTGGCCTCAAATTCACAGAGATCTGCCTGCCTCTGCCTCCCTAGTGTGGGATTAAAGGCGTGAGCCACCACCATCCGGCTTAGAAGATACCTTTAAATAACAACTATCTCATAGATTTGGAAAACCTTAGGTTGTGTGATATGATGGAAAATAAAATTTTTAGTGCAACTGTAGGTGCAGTAACGTCTGTCTGAATTTCCTACCCAGCCACTACCTGCATTGGATTGCAGTTGGGGATGCCCTTGCAGATGCTTGCGGTACTGCAGGGCTGGGATATGATCTAGGGTTCCCAGCATGCTAGGCAAGTGTTCTAGTGCTGAGCAGCGAAGAACAGGAGCTGGCATCTGTTTTGCCTCTTGAAGCTCTGGATGCTGGATCAGGCTCCTGGAGTCACAGCCATAGGGTCTGGCCCTCGATCTGGGAGGTGGCAATGTCTCCATGCAGGAGTGAAGGGAACAAAGCTTGGGATGAAACACACCTATGAGCTTCAAACCCAAGTTTATCGGGCGCTTTGGGAGACTTTCTAAACCTTCCTGCCTTGTGGGTTGCATCTTTTCCCACTGGGGTACCCTGGTCGGTGGGCCTACCCTGGAGAGGATGATTTGTCAGGTCTGCTGATTCCTCTAGGACGCTCCATAGGATTCAGAGCTGAGTCAGGGAAGAATGTGTCCACCAAATCTTGTGTTTCTCGCAGATCACACTGAGTGTCATCAGCGCCGCGGACGCCGTGGTGGGACAGTACAGCCTGTATATCAATAGCCACGACGCTGGGTCATTCTTCCTTCTCTTCAATCCATGGTGTGCAGGTAACTTAGAATTCAGCTCTGCTGTGGGGTGTGTCCCTGCACTTACATGTCTTGTGTGACTCATCAAGAAGCGCCCATGCTTGCACCCAGCCCGCAGTACAGAGTCCCGGAGCTGTTCTGCGCTCTCAAGGTACACAAACCAGCTACAGCGCATGCCTGGAAGATCCTTCTGCCATTTTAGTTTATCCTCACTGCCTTGCCAGACCCAGCCAGCTTCTGCTTCCAGCCCTGCTCAGAGGCTGCTGGGCGCCACGAGTAACTCCTCTAATCTTCACACCTGACTCTTTACCCAGATCTTTCCTTCCTGGCTACCCTTGAGCCTTTATACAAATGTCACTCATTTTTTATTTAAAATTCTCATTTTTAATTTTCATTTTATTTTTCTCATTTTTATTAGTTATTTGAGAGCTTTGTACAAACTATTTTGATAATATTCACCCTCCTCCCCCAGCTTCCTCCAGATTTTCCACACAGTGTATTTTCCCCTATCCATCCGACTGTGTCCTCCTTTCTAAAAATTCATCAGCCTTGTTCAAGAAACCACGGAGGAGACACCTCAGACAGGCTCTGCTCTGCTCTTTTCTCACACTTTCCCTACAGCCCTTTTTGTTTGCTTGTTTTAATTTGTCAACACCTAGATTAGAGTGTGTGTGTGTGTGTGTGTGTGTGTGTGTGTGTGTGTGTACAACTTGTCAAACTCAGAATATCAGCCTTGGTGACAAATAGTCATCTCAGTCACACACTTACCCTAGTCTTTCTTGACCCTGATGGTCTGGCTCAGTGGTTCTCAGCCTATGGGTCATGACCCCTCTGAGGGTGCACATCAGCTATTTGCATTACGATTCATAACAGTAGCAAAACTACAGTTTTGGGTTAGCACTGGCACACGACGGTGGCAGCACCAGGATGGCTGAGAACCACTGCTCTAGGGGGCCCAGTCTCCTCTCGTCTCTAACTTTTGTGATGTGTCTGGTGACTCATCACCCTTAGACCTGAGCCACATGCTCCTGGCTGGAGCATCGTGTGAAGGATGTTGGCAATCATCGGGAGGCACCGTACACCCTCGCCCCTTAGCTGGGAAACATTGCACTTGCATCGTTTGATCTAGGTATTGCCCAAGTTCCCTTATGTCACCGACGATGCTTCCTTTCATAACTAGCAAGCAGCTTATGTGGAAACGCTTTACAGCCATGCAGTAAGTACCCCTCATGAGAGTCCCCTCACTTGTGAATTTGGCCTGACCCAAGCAGTCTTCAGTGGGATGTCATGCAGATTGTCCAGCTCCAGCCCTCCGTCCATTCTTAGCAGATGGACCCTGGCACTCTCTGCCTTCAAGAGCTCCCTCCCAGTCATCCATGATTGCATCCACCCCTATCCATTAATCCACACCTGCCTGTCCACAAGCACCTACATCCCTTCATACCCATCCATCTGTCTGTCCATCTGTCCATCTGTCCGTCCGTCCGTCCATCCATCCATCCCTTTGTGAACTTATGGATTCTCTCTTTTTCAATTTATTAATTTCATTTTATGTGTGAGTGTTTTGTTTGACTGTGTGCCAAGTGGGTGCCTGGTACCTGGGGAGGTCAGAAGAGGGTGTCGAATCCCCTGGAACTGGGCCAATGGTTGTAAGCCCCTGTATGGATGCTGATAGTGGAACCTGGGTCCTCTGCAAGAACAAGTGCTCTTAACCACTGAGCAATCTCTCCGTCCTCTGGATTCTCTCTTTTATTAATGGTTTATGATTTATACTTCATTGGAATTATCCTTCTGTTCAAATTTCCACACATTTTTTTTCTAGTTAAAAGAGCCTTACACCTGGCTCAGGATGCCCTTTTGGAAGTTGTTTTTGCTTTTGTTTTTGAGACAAAGTGTCTCTGTGTAGCCCTGGCTGTCATGGAACTCTCAATGTAGACTAGGCTGGCCTCAAACTCATAGAGACCTGCCTGCCTCTACCTCCCAAGTGCTGGTGTCCAAGACCTGAGCCACTACCTCTGGCTGTTTGTATTTTCAATGTTTAATGTATTGCTGTGATCCTTCCTGTTTCCTGTACCCATTCCCCCAACATTTGTTGTCCCAACCCTGTGGTATACCTGCCTCTGTCTCAGGGTTAGTCAATAACCCACATGGTGTGGTCTTCCTCCAGATGACACTGTTTACTTACCTAGCGAGGAGGAGCGGGCAGAGTACATCCTGAATGATACTGGCTACATTTACATGGGTTTCGCCAAACAAATTAAAGAGAAGCCCTGGACCTTTGGTCAGGTAATGGATTGTTTTCTTCTGGTTGCCTCATGCATACTTTTTTCTTAGGGGTCACCAAACAAAGGCTGTGGGGCGGGGGGGGGAGAACCACTTCATCTGAAAAACTGAAGACTGACAAGTGTGAAACTGGCCTGAGAGGACTAAGCTCCACAGATCCCACAGGAGAAGCGGTCTGAGCCAGAGGGCTCTTGTTCAGAGCCCACAAGTGCCTTTCTGATCCCCTATATTCCAGTGCATTTATCCAGGAACCATTCAACAAGTCCTTATAAAGACACCCTGTGACCCATAGTGTGACTGGGAGACATTTGGAAGACTTGGGTGCAGAAGGTTCTCCCGGGGAGAGGGATGGGTGTCTTGGTGCAGGCAAATATGATGAAGAGTGACAACACACAGGTGGACACAGCTGGATTGCTAACAAGTCCACTGTGCCGGCCTCATGGCATCAGAAACAGCCAGTCTTCCTCTTGAACCCCACAGAAAAAAGTACCCTGGGAAATGCCAATCCTTCAAAATTGCCTCCTGTCCTTGGGCACATGGGCTAGAACAGAGGAGAAACATGAAGGAGGGACTTTCAGTCAGCAGGGTGTTTGCTGTGTGCAGCATGGTGCATCAGGTTGTCCTGTGGCTGGAAGGCCAAGAGAATATTTAAAAAGAAAGGGGGGGGGTGGGAATCATTAGACAGAAAAAGGAAACTGCCAGGATGAAGCTCCTGGGAGACTTTGCTGGAATCTTGGGTGAGTCACTCCTCTCAGGAAATGGCTCCTAATGTGGCCACTTTCTGAACCATTGCTGTGGCTTGCCCCTTTTGTTTTGCTTTCTTTCCCATTGGTTACAACATAACCAACACACATCCCTTCCACCGACAAACCTCATGGATGTCCACTGTATCATATTAAAACTGCTTAAACAGAAAAAAAAAAAGCAGTGTTGGTGGCGCAGGCATTTAATCGCAGCACTCGGGAGGCAGAGGCAGGCGGATCTCTGTGAGTTCGAGGCCAGTCTGGTCTCCAGAGCGAGTGCCAGGATAGGCTCCAAAGCTACACAGAGAAGCCCTGTCTCGAAAAACCAAAAATACAAAAACAAACAAACAAACAAACAACAACAACAAAAACTGTTTAAACAGGATTAAAAACTAACTCAGGCCTGAACTGAGCTGGATAACTGTGAGCCTAGCTTGTGTGAGGCCCTGGTTCTATCCCTAGTCATGCTGTTCACAAAAGACTTAGAAAATAGGCGGGGCCATGTTTAGTGGCACATTGATGTTTAGTGCCTGTTGATGTAAACTCAGGAGAGGGTGGATCTGAAGCCTGTGTAGGGTAAGTGGGAAGATACTGTCTCAATGCACCAATGTGAACTGGGCATAGTGGCCCAAGCCTTTAATGCCAGCACTCAGGAAGCAGAGGCAGGCAGATCTCTGTGAGAATGGAGCCAGTCTGTTGTATATAGTAAGTTGCATAGACCCTGCATCAATTAAAAACAACAAAAAACAAAAAGACCTACAACAAATCATCAGCAAGTGGGGAGGAGGAAGAACAAAGGAGAATCTACGGTATATAAAACAAAGTGTCAGTTTTCCCTGGTGAGGATTTCATTCTTTTAAACATTTGTTTTACATTTATTGCATGTGGGTACATTGTAAGTATTACAGCACGGAGGGGAACGGCTTCCGATGGAGACGTTGCAGCTCTGGGGGGAAGGTTTCCTCCACTGGAAGTGTTACAGCTGGTGAGGGGAGGGAGGTTCCCAGCGCAAGTGTTACAAAGAGTTACAGCTCTGAAGGCAAAGGTACCCCGGCAGTCAGGAGCCAGGGAACACCACAGTCAACCACATAACCGACCTCACACGAGAGATTTATTGCGAGGGACACAGGAGAAATACAGCAGGGAACTGACAAGGAGACAGGCTTATATAGGGCTTTTTGGGGGTGGAGTTTTCCAGGGTGGAGATTTCCAGGGTGGGGATTGGTGAGATTTCACCAAGCCCAGGGATTGGTGGGTTTTGGTAAGTTTTCAAACCTGGAAATGTGCACACATCCCATAGTGTGTATATGGAGGTCAGGACCACTCTCAAGAGTCAGCCTGAGAACCCACGAAACCAACCTTCCTATCCTATTCTTTTTTTTAATGTATTTATTTGTCATGTGTGTATTTTGCCTGTGTGTATATCTGTGCACTATGTACTTGCCCGGTGCCTGTGGAGGCCAGCTCCTGAACCTGGCTGTGAGCCACCATGTGGGTGCTAGGAACTGACCCCAGGTCCTCTGCAAGAGCAACAAGTACTCTTAACCACTGAGCATCTCCCCACCATCCCACCATTCATTTTTTTATTACTAATACTAACCAAGTTGAGATAATATTTCTTGTACACAGCTTAGCAGCTTTTCATTTATTTAACTTGATAACTAATGAGTTTCCCTCATGGTACTAAAGCCTTGTTGTATACCCTCTTGTGTGCATTTTACCCACTGAGCCATCTTCCCAGCCCCCTGTGTTTGTCTTTTCAATAGTTGTGCCCTGTGAGCCTTTGCCTGGTGCCTGTGGAGGCATTAACTGTTGTCATATGTCTGGCTGTTTAGTGGCTTCCACTGTGGAATGTGGAGGATCTTTGGGAGACTGTGGGCAAGTGCCCTCTCTTGGGAGATGAGTTATCCCTTCAAGGCAATGCAAATTAGATGGGGTGGGATAGTGTCTGACACAGAACAGAGTCTTGATACCTCTTTCCCCCTCTCCATGACAGTTTGAGAAGAGCGTTCTGGACTGCTGCATGTACCTCTTGTCCAACCTGACACCCCATGAACTGCAGAGCCCAGTGTCTGTGTCCAGGACCATTTGCACCATGGTATGTGGAGAGGCCGGATCTACTTCCAGGCTCCTACAAGTCTATAGAGTAAATGCTGTTGTAGTCCATCAACACCTGCTCAGCCAATTTGGGGTTTCCTGCATACAGTAAGCTGCTCTCCATGAAGCACACAGGGAGCCCTGGCTGAGCAGTCAAAACCACCACGGAATGTGCGGTCTACCACTGTCCTTCTGAGCACAGGCTCTCTAATCTGAGTTCAGAAGGCCAACTTTGCCACTTCTAAGTTGACTTTAGGAAAATGACTTTTCCAGTCTACAAGATGATGTAAAAAATATTCAAGGTCCTCTCTCTCCCTGTTATACAATGGCCACAAAAATGTCAAAGAAGCTGCAGCAGAGTCAATGGAGTTCAAAGAGAACTGAAAGGCCAAAAAAAAACTGATAGGGGAGGGATCTCTGCCGTGTGTGTGTATGTGTGTGTGTGTTTGTGTATGTACGTCTGTATGTGTGTGTGTTTGTGTGTGTGTGTGTCTGTGTGTTTGTGTGTGTGTCTGTGTGTGTCTGTGTGTCTGTATGTGTGTGTTTGTGTGTGTGTCTGTATGTGTGTGTGTCTGTATGTGTATGTGTCTGTGTGTGTCTGTGTGTGTGTGTCTGTATGTGTGTGTGTCTGTGTGTGTC